TCCAGGTCCTCCAGGCATAACACTGCTGGGTCCTCTGTATCCCTCTATTCCTCCATACGGGAATCCCCCTAATCCTGAATACGGAAACCCTCCAGGTCCTCCGGGTATGAATTTTCCAGATTCTCCGGGTACTGGTCCTCCAAGTCCTTCGGGTATAGGGATCTTATTTGTATCGCAATGATGATCTGCTATGCTCTCTCCCCATACCCTCCCCGCAAATTATATTATCCCTCATCTCTGTGCTTGCCCTTTAGACTTCTCCCCAGCTGGAGTAAGAAGGATCGTATTTCCTTCTTTCCTTTTTCTTACTTGCAGCTAACTTCTCCTCCCTTGTTTCATATTTGCATGGCGTTGCTACATCAATTTAATCGTGATCCTTGTATATGATGTTGCGAAAATTGTAGTTGACAAGCGGAAAAGTGCTTTTTTATAAGTTTAATTATAGTTCTTATACTTTCTTATAATCATGGGTCTGGAACAGCACAGTGGTGCAGGGCACAACGCCCAAAACCCACAGCAGTATCATATTTTGTATGCCTCCTTTCAGAAGTAGGATATTTTACCGTTTCTCTGAAACGAAGAAAAATGAAAAAGGGGTGCTTCAACTCCGCTTAATCTGGCAGTCCCCAATGCTTCGCATACTGAGTCCTAGCAACGGCCCACGCGACATCGCAACATCGCATGTGACGGCGACCTAGCCACCGCCACGATTGAATCGCCACGCACTCTGATGACTGAGTTCCAAAATGACAGGTGGCTTGTTCCGCCGCCACTAAAACTGCGATACTGCAACCTTTAACGGGTCTGAGCATCGGTTACCTGTAAATGGTTTGTTACGTGCACACGATGACGACTGGTTTTTCTGGGCTTGCTTGCGTGCTTTCCATGACTTTAACTGTGACATGGTCCCTTTTGGAGCGCACAGGTGCACTAGGTCCGTGTGGATGACCATGACGTTGCCTGTGGCGGATCTATGGCGCCACTATGTAGAAGACGACTGCCGCTGCTTCGACTCTATCGCTTTGACATGCCGTCATAGACGGGGCCAACTCGTCAAAGAGTTCATAAAAAAACGGTATCTGGATATGGCTTTTGTGGGAGCTCTGCTGACACAATTCCTCATTGTAGAAGATGCACAAGATGCGCGCCGAGCGGCTTCCATCTTGAGCTGCAAGGCAGCGAGCGGTGCTTGTTTTGTGTGGCTTTAAGAGCTTCCGCCTACGATGGTCAGCAGAATGCTCCTGTTTGTGGCGTGCTCCCACATGCCATATCGTCATTTCTAAGGGCATACACCAGCGCGTTGGAGGTGGCCACGATCCCTATGAGCCCTCTCCTGAGAAACCTGCTGTTGGCCACACAGTGTGATGAAATCAACCTGGTCCAGGACGTGTTGTTTGTTGTTCTAATCTGCAATGGTTCAGGGCCCGGTTTGCCCTTTAAAACACACGAGATAGTGGAGGCTCGTAAAATTCTTTTGTGACCGCTTCCTAGCGAGACAGCAACAGGCACACTATTGTGTAACGATTCCTTAAGTGACACGATCATGTGATTGTTGTCATCATTGGCCTCGTTTTCACATTGGAACTGGAGTGCTTCCTCGAATGGAGTTCGCTCATGAGGGGTGTGTAGCTTTAGTCTAAAGTGCAATTATGGTGAGCCCACCTCGCACCTACACTCACCTGCCTGTGGGAAGACCTTGTTAATTGCACTGGGTTGTCTGCTGACCTCTTCCTCTCAGACTCATCGATCATTTGAACAATGAGCATCATGAATCACATGAATCACGAAAAACCACGAAAATCACACAAAAGATCACGAAAATCACGAAAGTCACACGAATCACATGAACACGTCTGCGAATAATGGGTTATAAACAAAAGAATAAACGAAACAAAAACAAAGACAAAAGCGCGTCTAAACTTCAAAAGCTGGAAAAAATCCAATTATATTGTTATGGGCCAACAGATAGAAATGAAATAATAAAGCGCTTCAAACTCAAATCTCTTTCTTTGTGATAGTTTGACGTGTTCTCAGTATAGCGTTGAAAATTGCGCTCTAGCATTTATGAAAACGGATTTCGATGGAACATAATGCCTTTCAGAGTGAGTGAATTCAAAAAACACAACAGGAATGATTTTCTACTAGCTAGAGATTCGAATAGAGTACTCAATCCCCTTCTTTATTGACAACTTCTTGCTCGTCTTCCAGTTATGTATCAGCGCTTACTGGACTTTTTTCACTGTTATTTTTGATTCCGTGAGGTTCTCACCACTGTCTAATATTTTTTTAGGTGAGTCACATAATTTTGTACAGTGATGGTAAATAAAACTCAATCTTAACATTCAACACTGTTCAACAAATAACAGGCATTGCCCATGGATAGTATTGCTGAAATACGTATGAAAAGAGACGCTAATTACACCATTTGACCTTTTTTCTTCTGCGGTTCAACTCAAAGAAGATGCTAAAGGAAATTAACAAATCTGTGGAAGCCCTTGGTGATCAGGCTATCCCATATAACCTCTGTAAATATTATTATCTTTCAAAAATCTAGAAGTAGTGATGCTGATATCCTGGCAAAAAACATCCCAACCAGCCACAAGTCCATGCTAATAATTAGCAAACGTTATGATGAATTTGGTTCATATAGGTGAATCAGAAAATTCTACAGTCGCTGTTATAAAACGTACTCATGAAAGGGAAAGAGAAGAAAAAAGAGAAAAATGGCTGCTACACGAGTTGAGGAATTCCCACGGTTTGGTCGGCTCGAAGCAGATCCAAATTTTAAAAAGCTCCCGAGGAATATCTTCTGCCGCTTGAATGGGAAAAATTTCTCAGCGCAATCAACTGACATGCTGCCTTATGCTTACCACCTTCATAAAGTTGGTGCAGGGCAACCTAGCAGGCGTTTTGATGTTCAATATGTGCAGCAACGAGCCGCTGAACTACACGTCGAAATTAAACTTGTACCATTAGGTGGGATCGCCAATTTGTCAAAAAACGGGAAGGTGCTGAAGAAAATGGAGGGGAATTCTTTGGTAACAACTTCTATCAGTTTTTTGCAATAAAATTTCGTGTTCGAGGGAAACCAAAATTGAGTGAACCACCTAACATAAACTCTTACATGTTTTGAGAGACAACATTTCAGTGTCTACGGTCTGTGAGATTAGGATGTCTGTGCGAGCAACACAGTCAATTGAGTGGGGTCATAAGTGATAGGTTTGTGGACGTGAGCGATATTGTTTGTGCTATGCAAGTGGGCACGAATCAGCGTCTAATAAATACAGGGTGTCTCATAAATACTGCACCGAATTTTAAGCTCAAATTCTGTAGGTGTTTATAGCTTTTCTTCCAAGATTGGCAGACCTTTCAATCCTCTATCCTCTTGTCAATGACCATGCCAAATTCCACGGCTTACCGTTCGGCCTGCATCTCATGGTGCGCCTAAACTTCAACAGAGTGCCTAACCTCTCACACAGCTAGGTCGGACATCCGGTGATGAGCATCGCGCTTCTTTGGATTTTCAACCGCTCCGCGGCCTACCGTGTACTAAAGAGAAGACCAATAAAAGTAGTCTTTGTTGTGGCCGCCCCACAAGTTCTGACATCTTGGATCTCAGGAAAAGCATGAAGAAGCGAAACGACTGCAATACCCGGGTTGGCTCGAGAAAGGTGACCAGAACGCTGGAGTTTCTAAACACAGCCATGTAGAGTGGTCGGATAACAACTGCTCACAGTCCATTATAAGTTGCATAAGCACCACTGCTCAATCCAACGGGAGGAGCACAGCAGAGACAAAAAGTTCAAAGAGCTGGTGTCGAGGGCCGAAAATGGCGATTACGCGGGCACCGTTTTCATCGACGACAAAATTCCTCACATGGAGCGGAGCTACAATCTTCAAACTTCCGAGGATGCCCGCATGAGGTCTTGAGGAAGTCAGTGAGAGTGAAAGGAATATTCGCCACAAGCAGCAGCCGAACCTTATCATGGTCTGGACGGGGTCTCAACTACCGGTCGCTCACCATCACTGCCTGTTTACAAAGGAATACAACTTGATACTAGACCGAGCCAAGGGACATTTCGGTGCACCATCTGTTACTGAGGTATCTAGCCACTTTGAGGAGGGGTGATGATCTTTTCAATAGGACCCAGCTTCTGCATAGGAGGCAAAAATTGTTCAGGAGCGCTGTTAAGGCACTCTTTCCGATTTCACATCCTCAAACGAATGGCTCTCCTATCCGTTGATTTCAACGGGCTGGACCATCCTATGTGGGCTGTGTTATAGCGCAGAGCCTGCGCTAATTATTGCATCCAGCCGAAGCCTTAGCGACTTGACGGCGATGATAGGTACAATTCCGTGGTTAAACTTTCCGAATACAAAGGGACATAGTTATGCAAACTGGATCGGGAGTTGAGAAAAAAGGAAGAGAATTCAAAAACAAAAACACCACTTGCGAGTCGTGGAGAGGGAACCAGTCGGAGTGGAAGGAGCATAACCAGCCCCGACTCAGTTAAACCTGCGAGTGTTGGGTGGTCATTGCTCAGTGAGTGGTATCATTTTGGGCCATCCTAAGCGTCTGGTGTCTCACTGACGCATTTGGAGGCGCGAAACTAGTGCGACCAACTAACTTAGGTATTTTTGGACGAGTAGTAGTTGGCTATATACAGTAACATCACTGCTCCATGCAAAGTGATATTAATTCCGATGTGGTTCGATATGAGAATTGACATCACCTAATTTGGACATTGATGTTGCTGTACAAATGGGCACCGTATACATGCATGAATTTGCATTGCACTGTCACTTGACAAAGACAAAGTGACGATATAAACATGCAGGGCCACTTATGAAATCAATAGCATAAAAGCATAGTCATCATGGAATCGCATTATTATGACACACTAACCACCACTTCATCTTATTTTCTCTTTCATGGGACCATAGCAGTACTTTCTCCTCCCGAACGATGCACTCACCTTTGCATTCCATTCTTCGCAGTTATGGGGTTCACCTTTTTAGATGTATGCTCACCTCCTCGTGATTGTTTCTGCGACAGTGATTGCACAACTGCCGGTATGTCTCAGAATGATCTGAAGTAGTCGACAGATATAAGTGCTCAGATAGCATAAGAAAAATAAAATGTTAACTTTCTTAATATTTTCTCTCATTTTCAGCTCATGCTATCATTCTAGTCTTTTGTGATCTAACTCGAGAGTTTTGGAGGCATTATCGAAATAAGTTGGCCCGGATGAAATGCGAACGAGTAGTCACCAAGTGGTGTGTCGGTGGCGAAAAATAGGCGAAAAAATCCGAGGAAGTAGTCCCTATATCCGTAAGCCGTTGATAGCGCCTTCTTGCGGAGCACCTTTTGTCGTCTACGTGACAATGTCTCCACCCCTGACAGTACCTATCCTTCGCCTTCATAGTCCCATTGCTACTTTTGAAGCAACGGATACGTTAGCGTGTATGTGCTGTATGAAGCTACATGCATCAGTGCAGCAGCAACCAGAGGCCGAATGAACTGATATGTGCCTTTTCGCGGTTGAAGCTGCGCTACTTCAGCGCACTAATGTAGCAAACCTTTGCTGTAACCAGCCTTCGTTTGTGTTCCATTCGCCTCTGTGTTGCCAGCAGCAACACAATCAGGTTTCATTTTGAAAGGGGATTCCTTTGGAGCGACCGTATCCTCTGTAGTTTCGGTATAATGCGCTATCAACAAAGAGAGAATGTCGTGGATCGCAAAGACCGCTCCAACGGAACCCTGGGCGCGCCGGCGCCTGCGAAGTCCTGCAGACATGACCCACTACGACCTATCCCGTGATCGTGCGGAAACGCACGGGCCGTTCGCAACAGCACCATCACGGCCTGTCCCGGTGTTCCCCGTCTGTCATCAAGGTTCTGCCCCTCGCCGTCGTATCTGCAGGTTTGCAGGACGCGGATCGAGGAAAGCGGCCCGACGTGAGTTAGTTCAAGGCGTTACTAACATTAGTTGTATTAATCACAAGTTCATAATAACGTAAGAGTAGTTCATATCATAAATACTTAGTACTGCTCTTGTTCGTGTTGTGTAGCAATAAGGGGTAAAACCCACACGCTATCTACTTAATAGTTAAGTGTACTAAAACCGTTTTCATGGTTGCCAAAGACATTTAGCTGGTTGTCAAGGTAGTCAGCTCATTGCTAAATCAGTTTTCGGCCGGAACTGCTAATGATTGACTTTTTGCACTATTGCCCCTCGTAATTCATCCGGGTTTTCCTCATAAGTGGCAATCAAGCCCTCTCCTGGACCCACCGACTCGCAACAGCAAAGTTGATGTGCTAACGACGTAGCTCATGCAAACCATCCTTATACTGGTTTTTGGCTCATCTCTCGTTGGAGATCAACGTGCGAACATTTCACGTTGTATGTTTTTAGGGATTTTTGAAAGTTGGCCTGCAGCGCAATTATTTAGCACAGAAGCACACACGTATGCGTCCTGGAACGCTGACCTCGATCCCGGCTTTCAAATCTGCTGTTCGAAGAGCACTACTCACTTACGGAGGACCACTGATATTCATTTTTCGAAGCCTTCCAACAGTCATGAGTCGTGCCTTAATGGCGAATCCGCTGGACAAGCAGATTGACAGAACCAGCACTATGACTCAGCTCCTTTATGCGCATCCTGCTTTTGCTTTTGCCCTGATCATGATCCGTTTCTCGCTCCAATATGAATATCCCATTTTTGACTTTTCTTCACTATTCACTTGAGCTAGAGCTAGTCTTCGAGAAACTTCTACTGTGACTTACTGACTTGCTTATAGGAGTACGATTTCGTTTTCATTACCATTCTGAAGGCCATGCAAGGATACATATACAGAGAAATCCAAAAAAGCGACACTGCACCCCACATTTCAGACAGCGTTTTGATCACACTTTGCTAAACTCAAACCGACTGCTCCCAACTTAGTATTAAAGAGCACATCCCAATCTATCAATAAACGTTATAATAGCTTTCTGCACCAAGGACATCACAAGAATTTGCCATGGGAACCTTGTGCACGGTTCGAGCTCAACTGGTCCTCGGCGGATCATGGACCACGACGTTATCTGAAAAGCTGGTCGGAAGGGGTCTTGCACATTTAGAGCTACTGTCCCTAGGAAGCAATCGTCAGTTAACCGATTAAGAAATTCCGTAGCAGCTTCAGGCTGGAACGATTACTTTAGGCCTTCTTGAGCTCAACGGTGATGGAAGATGACGTCATATTTTGAGGACGGTGAGGGCAGTGGAAGAGGGCCTGCTTCTACTTATGGACATCTAAGGATATTTTGCCGTAAAACTTTCATCAACAGCGGCACCCTGTGCGATGAAAAGTTTGATGATGTGCGCCATGGGCAAAGTGTCTCTTTTTTTGGCCACCCCTGTATTACTGGGATGATTGAGGAACGCTTGGTGAGCGTATACATATGCTGCTCTGATCAAGATGGGTAACGTAGAAAAGCTGTTCACGGTGTGAAACCGAATGAGGGAGAAATTTCGTTACATCCGTCACTTTCACACGATTCCTTCATTTGGAAAACAAAGCAGTGTAGTTGGGGCTCTCGAGTTCCCCTGACGTAATGCCGCAAAGGTCACATTCCTCTACCAAATGTGACGAATTTTAGGCAAAAAAATTTATGGTAATCCGAGATAGAAGTTTCAGCCGACCGATTGAACATTGGGAAGCGACGAAAGCTTTTCGCGATCCACAAAAACGTTTCCAAGATACGATTCGCCAAGTTTTGCATTCCTGATTTTAAGTGCTTAGAGAGTGAACGCTCTTACCGAGGAAGTGTAATCAAGAAAAGGTTTTCTTTCTGATGTCTGAAGGGGACGCAAAACTGTTTTGCAAGCGTTTAGAACGAACTTTAAGATAAAAGCAAAAACAACATGTGCATCAAAGGAATGGAACTTTGGCGTTGCTCACCGGCATCGCGGTTGAGGCAGGGCACTTGGTAGTTGCTTCAAAAACTAGTTTTTGTTCTGTCGAAATACGACTTTGTCCAACGAGCGGGGCGTATTTGGCCGACGGAAAAGAGGGGATGGTCGTGTTTGCAAAGGTTTCAAAGGTTGTTCGCATTATTTGCAATACGTAGGTGAGAGGCATAACTTTCAAGTGATTCTCCAACTATCAACCACAAATGGGTGCATGGCGAGCAGAAGGGTCTACAGTGTCTTGCTTTTATTCTCAAATTCTCAAAGTATAGACACAAGTGCACAGCGTTCACAGAAAACATATATAGTTATATAACATAATACTTAGTTTATGATCAGATGAGTGCTTGATTGTAGCCGTCCAAGATTAGTTAACTTTATTAGGCCAACGTTTCGGCAACTTCGCCTTCGTCAGAGCCTGAAAAAGTCAAGAACAAATATGACTTGCCCTCTACGTTACGTAACAAGCAATAACGTTTCGTTATTGCTGAGTGTGAGGAAAAATTTGGGCACTGAAAACCTCTTTATTTTGACAGCTTATGTTCCAAAAAGCAAGGAATAAACCTTTCATGAAAGAATGTGCATAAATGATAATAAGCACAATATGAACTACCTTTTTTCAGCCGCCTCCGAACATCAATCAACCAAATCAAGCAAACCCGCAGCCGAATACGAATCAACAACAACAGAATAGTAAAGCTGGACAAGCCGGCGAGTTTGTAGGAGGACTTCTCAGTGGGCTTCTTCTTGGAGCAACTGGATTATTGCCTCCTCCTTTCGGGTTCCCCTATGGACCACCGATGCCTTTCCCCATGGGACCAGGTGTTTTTCCCTACGGTGCACCTGATCCATTTATGCCAGTAGGACCATTCCCGTATGGAGGGCCTGGAGGACCTATGTTTGGTGGACCTGGAATTCCTTTTGCCCCAATGCCTGGAGCAATGCCGTTTGGCGGACCTCCATTTATGGGGCGGTAGAATATATTCCCATGGAGAACGTAGATGAGGTGGAGTGCGCGCATGTTCAAAAGGTGATATAATTTTTGAATAACATGGTAATAAAGTGTTCCAGAATTGTATGTTATGTGAGATTTATTAGCGATATGCGATCACAAAGTAAGAGATGAGTTCAAAGTCATACCTACCAACATAAAAATAACACAGATAATGACAGAATTTTTATTTAAATTTTTCTAGATCCTAATCCAGTGCCCCGTCTTTGTGGATACCGCTTAGATTCTTAAAAATGGTCAGGCTGGAGAAATGTTCAGTCAGAAGAAGGGCGATAGCATCCTCGAAGCCGGTGCACCGCTGTTACACTTCATTCTTGTTTGATTCTCATATAAGAAGAATGTCCACATCAGTCATCCAACGATTCTCATTCGTGGTGACGTCTGACACTGTTGGGATAGAATCTGGACCGATTAACCGTTATTTGTCAGAGCGCTTCAGATGTTATTAAAATGACAGTGCTGAGACATCCGCAAAGAGTCCTTATGATTTGGAAACGTGGGTTCGCAGCGTGCCCAACCTAGCGCCAACCAACGGCTACCTACTCTGACCTCTAGTGGTCCCCTTTGGAAGAATTTTTTACGCTAATTGACAAGACCTCAAACCTGACACCCGAACTTTCTTGCCTTGGGAGCTCATGGAATTTTGGAGGAAAGGCACCGTTTAAATTCCCATGCGTGGGCACTATTCTGTAGATACACTGCGTTCAATAATGATACAGCCACCTAAAATTTGCTCAAAAATTTAAAGTTCATAGGGTTTCTGAAAAACTGTCTACGTAGAAAATGTGACAAATTTCATGGCGAGTTCAGATATCAACACAAAATCCATGTCGAAAACACTAAAAAATGT